TATTTGATACAACCTATGCATCGTATGATTATTGTGTTTCTTAAAATATAGGAACCCTGTATACCACTTGGTATAAGTGGAGCCCTTATAATGAGGTTGCGTCTACTTGGGAATAGGAGGATGTTTTTTCGCTCACAGTTTCCAAACATAATGGAAGAAAGTAAGGGCGAATTCCAAGGACGGAATTCCTTTTGTTAGGGGGGAAGAATGTAATACCCCTAATTTTAAAAGGATAGTCTCGATATTTATTTATTTGTTTTAATTGTATTTTTAATTATTTAATTGATTATTTGACTAATTGCTTATGTATTTAATTGAATTAGGTATTACTTAATTATTTGATTATGTGTCTATGTATTATTTGTATTTGTCTATGTGTTAATTACTTAATTAGATTATGTGATTAAATGGTATTTTGATTAATTGTAAATTAAATGTTTTCTTTTCTTTTATTATTTTCTTTTATTTTTCTTTTATGGTTATGGTTAGTAGTAATGGGCCAACCAATTGGGTCTCATAGACTACTTGGATAGGAGGTTGGATGGGTACAAATTATTACCCATGGATAGTTGTGAGTATATATATATATTATATACATATATAAAAGGGAAAGTAATTGATTAATTACTTTTATAGTAACTTGGGTACTAATATTTAATCTGATGTATATGTTTTATATTTAAATAATAAAAATATACATAGATTTTATACGTTTTATGTTTTAAGTTACTTTATAATATTATGATAACTTAAGTATTAGTGGATAATCCATTAATAAATAATGGAATGTGTATAATTTATTTATTTAACAAAGATATACATAAATTATATACGTAACATATTTTACTTACCTTTTAAATATATATAAAAGAGAAAGTAATTTATTAATTACTTTTATGGTAATTTGGGTAGTAATATTTAATCTGATGTATATGTTTTATATTTAAATAATAAAAATATACATAGATTTGATATATTTTGAGTTACTTTATAATATTATGGTAACTTAAGTATTATTGGATAATTCATTAATAAATAATGGGATGTATATAATTTATTTATTTAATAAAAATATACATAAATTATATACGTAACATATTTTACTTACTTTTTTAATATATATAAAAGGAAAAATAATTTGATAATTACTTTTATGGTAACTTGGTTAGTAATATTCAATCTGATGTATATGTTTTATATTTAAATAATAAAAATATATATAGATTTGATACGTGTTATGTTTTATGTTACTTTATAATATTATGGTAGCTTAAGTATTATTGGATAATCCATTAATAAATAATGGGATGTGTATAATTATTTATTTAATAAAGATATACATAAATTATATACGTAACATATTTCACTTACCTTTTTAATATTTTAATATTTATTTTTGTAATTTGACTTGAATTGGGAAAAGGGTTAGGGTTATTTTATTTAGCCCATAAATATATAGCTATAGGTTGTAAAATGGGGTTAGAAAAATTCACGTGATATATTCTAGAGAGAGAGAGTTAGAGAGGGAATGAGGAAAAGGAAAGAAGGAGGAGAAAAACCCTGTAAAGAGAAGATCAAGGAAGAAAAAGTGTAACTTTCGATCCGAAAGTTTAAGACAAGTTCTTCTTCTATCTCTTTCCCTTTGATTCGTGTTTCTATGCATGCCTAGGAAATTCCAGGATTTATTAAACACAAAAAATTAAATAATTATGTATGTTTAATTGAATTAGAAAATAGGTTTTATGAAATTGGTTCGTATCTGTTCTTGTGTTATGAATTAATAAATGCATGATTTTGATTTGATTTTCGGTGTGAATTTTAATATATTAACATTATGTATTTTTCATATCTATGGAATGATGGAACGTAGAAACATGTCTAGGATTCCTGAACATTAAATATGAACTAGGTTTGGGTTAAAATAAATTTAAATAGTCTCAATCATAATGATACTTGCTATTTGAATGTTTTAAACATACGAATGGATTTAATCTTTTAAAATGTTTTAGCAATTAAGATTAAATGTGTAGGATGAATTGGATATGGAGAATGCTTATTTGACGGTATAATAAAATATCATCATGTATAAGATTCAGTTTGTGTAGGACATATGATATAGGAAGTTTAAATAAATAATAAGTTATTCCTATTTTGTGATAACTTGATATCATATTATCATAGTTATTTCTGGATTGTTTGATGTATTTCCTTAATCGTTAAATCAATTGTTGGATTGTGTGGTTTAATGCACCGGTATGAGATAGTGGCATTTTAGGGACGGATTAACTTATCAGTTAAGTCCTACCTATTTTATATAACGGAATGGATTAACTAAAATGTTAAGTCCTACTTATATTCAAGTCAGGTCAGCTGAACAAGTTGAATGACTTATGGAGGATTAATTTATTATATAAGAGAATGGATTAACTAAAATGTTAAGTCCTACTTATATTCAAGTCAGGTCAGCTGAACAAGTTGAATGACTTATGGAGGATTAATTTATATTGGATAGGATGGTTACTAGATTTTATATATATAAGTATGGTGCTATGATATGAGCTTGAGTCTCAGGATCAGTGGTTAGGGCGCGTATATCGCCAGGGATGTCTAGCTAGATATAGTGTAGTTATGTACCCTGATAAGTCTAGGTACTCATGCCCACTACATGTGCATTTTGCATGTTGCCTACTATTCAGGTTAAGACAACCCTATAGTCTAGTGAGGTTCCTTTAGTGTGTGTATATATATATATATACGGACTACTAGTTACTGTTGGATTGACTAGGATGTATACGTGTATCGGATCTCTGCTTGGACTGTAGTAGAGTAGAACTTGTTTGTGGGCCTGACCCACCATTATTTTCCAAGTGTTCGTCAAGAGTAGAGGTTGTTCGTGCTGAGCGGGGATCAATCTACTTTATTCTTCCGATGCTACATAGGAGTTCTTTTATAATTCAGTTTCCTGATTTAGACAGTTATTGCTGTCATTTGTTTAGTTTGGATTTTTTTAGGGGTCCACACAATATGGATTCTCAAGTTGTATTTTGGAGGATCAGTTGTATCAGAAGAGTTTATTAATCAATGGAAATATATTATGAGGTTTATTATTAGATTATCATTTTAGTTTCTTGTCAGTATTTTATTATTCTTCTTTATTCTTTTGTACTCTATGTTCGTTTATTGCCGATTTGTTTTTGATATCCTCGAGTATTCGAGCGTGGGCCTGGCCAACCTGCATTCGGAACTCGGAGGTATCACAGTTTTGTTCTTGGGCTTCTCCCCAAAAAGTCTCATACCAATTGGAGATGACACACCTACATATAAGCATTTCACCTGTCCCTAGGCGATGTGGAATTATGCACGCGTAACTCACCAGTGTGGTAGCCTGTCAGTCTCTCGCACCCGCCCATGGCACACCCGCCCACTGGGTCATCACAATCCACCGCCCTTGGAAGCCCGACGTCCCCGTCGGCACACTTCCGACTGGGTCAGGCTCTGATATCATTTTAATTTAAAAATAGAACCTTAAAGACCCAGCTAGTGAGAGTACAAAATTCCTGGACATAGCCTAACCTCAGATACATGACCCTGCAAAATTTCAGAATCTAACTCTTAATAGTTTTTCTGTACTCTCCCTTTCAGTGCTGAAAAATAATATTTTTTCATGTTTAAATTTCGTAAAACTAACAAACAGTCATTTAAAAATCTAGATTTCAGCACAAAAAAGATCATTATACCTAAAACTAATATTCTGGAATTTAACATAATTTTTGAAATATTTAAAATATTTTTCCTTAATCTTCTAATGTAAAACTAATGAAAAAAATAATAATTAAATATATTATTTTATTCTGGCTGAACTCGGGTTTGGGCCCAACAGACTGAGCTTGGCAAGTGGGCTCCAATAGTAATTTCCAATAGCCAAAACATTATTTCACATCAACACACTCTCCCCTACTCTCTGCCACCGAGTGTGGGTTTATTCATAGGATCCAAAAGTGGATCTCTTTTACACTCCACAGTTCTGCAATTTCCCATCCACTACAATCTGATATCTACCCAAAAGTGATACAAGTCCTTTTGGCTAAAAACTTCCACTGCTCAACTATGTGTGTGTAGCATATATAACACTATTATATATATATATATATACACACACACATCAAAACAGATCCTCTATTCAATTAATACCATAATTACATATATTTATATGTACTCACGCATACAATCACAAACATAACTGTAAGCTAATATTAATAATCATCCTAATACCCAATATATTGAAACATGTAACTTTCAAATCAATTTATATTAATACAATAATAACATAGCCAATCTTTAATTATAACATTAACAAGATCAATAATTAAAATTTATGTAACTAAATTATATTTAATCCTTTTACAATACATAATCCTCTTAATCATGCCCAATTAAATTCAAATCAACTTACACAACATATACTAATTTAATCCTAAACATAGTTAGGAATAATATCTCTATAATTTATTTAAACACACCAATTAGATTTTTAAAATTCACCGCATTCAAGTTCTATAATCAAGTTTTAAGCATATATAAAAATACAATGCAAGATTAACTTGCCTGGAAATTGCTAAACCTTCCTTTTACGTAATTGCCTGACCACCGTCCTTTCTCCTGGCTACTACAGAAGATAGGAAGTATCAGTAACTTCTCTTTCTCTCTTTCTCTCTCTCTCTTTCTTGTTTTATTTCTTTCTTTTACGTAATAGAATAATAGAACTTATATAAATATAAGAATATCGGTAGGTGAGCTAATTTAGGATCCTCTTTAAAATTTCAACTTTTAAAAAGGTAACCTATTAATTCCAATATACCTTAAAAAGTCAACTAGATAAATAATATTCAAATAAATAAATAAATACGGGTCTTACATTCTACCCTCCTAAAAAGAAATTTCGTCCTCGAAATTTGCGTACCTTATTCAAAGAAATGTGGATACTTTTCCTTCATTTTAGACTATAGCTTCCAAGTAGCCTCTCTCTCATCCTGATGATTCCACTGCACCTTCACTAGAGTTATCTCTGCCCGCCTCAACTGTTTCACCATACGATCAACAATGCGAACAGGCGTCTCAACATAGGTTGTATTAGAGCACAACTGAACCTCTGTGCAGTCAACAGCCTGGGTTTCATCCCTCAAGCACCTACTCAACATGGATACATGGAAGAGTTTGGGTGGTAAAGCCAATCTATAAGCCACTTCCCTAACCCTCTCTGTGATCTCAAAAGGTCCAATAAATCGAGGAGCTAGTTTCCATTTCTTCCTAAAAAATCTCGTAACCCCTTTCATTGGTGATACTTTTAAGAACACTAAGTCTCCCACACTAAACTCCAAAGCTCAATGGCGTCGATCTGTATAACTCTTCTGTTGACTCTAAGCTGTGCGAAGTGGATCTTAAATGATGGCAACCTTTTTCGTAGTCTCTTGCACCAACTCTAGCCCCAAAAAACTACTATCACAAACCTCGGCCCAACATACAGTTGAACGACAAGGTCTAGCATAAAGTGCCTCATACAGTGCCATACCGATACTAGCCTGATAGCTGTTATTATAAGTGAACTCAACCAGTGGAATGTGATCCTCCCAACTGCCCCAAAAATCTAGCGCACAAGCACAAAGCATAACCTCCAGCACCTGAATGACCCTCTTGGACTGGCCATCGGTCTGAGGATGAAAAGCAGTACTCAAACTCAAACGAGTACCAAAAGCTGCATGGAAACTACCTTAAAACCGAGATGAAAAACGAGGATCACGATCTGAAACAATAGACACCGGCACTCCATGGAACTTAACTATGTATCAGAGCCTGACCCAGCTAGAAGTGTGCCGATGAGGACGTCGGGCCTCTAAGGGGGGTGGATTATAATGACCCTGTGGGCGGGTGTGCCATGGGCAAGTGCAAAAGACACTGTCAGGCTACCACACTGGTGAGCTGCGGGTGCACAAGTCCCACATCGCCTGGGAAAGGGAAAGGTGAAGTGCTTATATGTAAGTGTGTCAACTCCAATTGGTATGAGGCTTTTTAGGGTGAAGCCCAAGAGCAAAACCGTGTGGGCTCAGGCCCAAAGTGGACAATATTATACTATGTGGTGGAGTGGGTCGTTACACTTAGCGTATCATATGAGGAGGAGAACTAGATGCTACATGAGATGATGGTGCATCTAAAAGAGTGCGTGACTCCATTTGAGGCTTATGAATGACAATGTCGGTTCTAGCACGCTTTGGAGGTTTATGAGATGCAATCATTTTGCCCTTAGCTTCCTTGGACAACTTAGAGCCATTTGATCTTTAGAGAATTTTACTTTGATGGTTTAAAATTCTTTTAGGAATTTTGTCGAACACTTAGTGTGCAACCCCAAAAGTGTTCTTCACAAAGCTTGATTTTAAATATTTTAATCCCCAAAAATCAATGACCAATGAGCACCACAATTCACAACATAACAAATCAACTCCCAAAGTCTTCAATATCTTCACCATAATAAGTTTTTCAACAAAAATCAACCAATCCTTAAAACAAGCTTAAACCTAACCTTTAATTTCTCAATCTCAATACCAAATCTCCTCCACAATATAAGATGATATAATCAAGATCAACAATATGAAATTTAGGATAAAATTATGATGATTACTCAATAAACATGCATAAAGATGATATGAGAGTATGTAGATGAAAAAGGAAAGTGAGGGTGAGAGAAATGCCAAAAATGTGCAACCAACAAGGGTTTCAAGACCCAACAACACTCAAATAGTGATATATAAGTGCCCAAGTGCGACGCCTTGAACCTGTTCAAGGGGGTGGAACCGGTTCAAGTCTAGCAGTTTTAAATTCAAGAAATCTTGCATTCTTGAACCGATTCAAGTCATCCAGACTTGAATGCTTAGAGGCAAAAGTGTTTAAATTTTCACAAATTTTCTTTAATAATGATCTTTAAACATTTGAACAACAAAACCAAAACACAAAACTTCTAAAAATCTAAAGAAAAACAAAATCTTTTTGGATTTTGAAAATTTTGAATCAATAATATATATTTTTTATATAAAAATGAGGAGATGAAACTCATAAATTTCAAATCAGCACAAGCATCAAAATTTGCAGAGAGTTTATGAATATTCATGAACATAAATGCATGACACCACAAAATTATCAATAATTTTCAACTCTCAAAAGGCAATCACAATATGATTTTTTTTCCATAAATGGTGGTGTAACATAGAATAAAAATAAGAGTGAAATTACAGATGCATAGAGGGCATACCCTCAGTCAAAACAAAATTAGCCAAAATTAGAATGAGAAGGCCCACTTCCAATATAAAGATGTAAATAACAACCTAAGCTGAAACAAGGTCATTGAGAGTTGCATTTTGGACATCTAGACACTCCATAAGAGTGTGTTTAGTAGCAGCATCAGGTGGCAATGCATTGTTGCTATGAAGCCTAGCATTCCTCTCCCTCCAAATATGCTATAAAGTTGCAGCAAACAAGGATTTCAAAGTTCTAGAAAATCTATAGAGTTGATGCATCCATTGGAACAGATCCCACATAGATTGAACCATAGAAAACTGGTCCATATCCCACCTAAGCCCATCCCCCATTCATGCCCAGAAGGCATGAGTAAAAAATCATGAGACAAGAAGATGATCTATGTTATTAATATCCTGCTGGCAATTAGAACACCTAGCAGCCAATTGGATTTTCCTCTTCTGCAAGTTGCACATAGAAGGTAGCTTATCTAACATCACAAAAAATGTTGTAGTTAACCACCTAGGCCTTGCCTTATTCCAACATAGCTTGAACCACTGCACTTCTTCAATAACATTTGATCTGTGGTTAATAGTGTCAATAATAAAATACCACTCGCAATAGAATGAATCATTTGCAGGATATGGCTACTTAGAGGGTGTCGAACCTCAGGGACTATGGTGGTATATGTTTATTTAAGATACCTATCATGAGGTTTGCTCTTTTCATGACAAAATGCAAGTAAAAAGGTCCAAAGAGATTTGATAATGGAATATTGATACATTGAGGTATATTGAAGGTTTACTCAAATGAATTCCGAATTGATAAAGGCATATTGTTCACAACAGCTATATTCAGTTTTGTGAAGTATGTGACAGCACACTCGATTTCCTATAGCCAATGTCAAGGGCATGTTTGTCTTGACGCACATCTTAATATCCATATAACATTTGTATGTGAAGCTACATTGTGTATTTGAGCCCAAATACTTAATGAGACAGACCTATCAAAGTGACAACAGTGTGTTTGTAACTATTTTGTCAAAAGACAATTGTAGGGGCAATACTATAATTCTGAGTGTATCTACAAAATGCTGACATGTGTAATATGGTCCTCAAGTGAGAATATATTTACAACTTTACATTTCTTAGGGTGTAAGATCCAAGAGGCAATTCTAATAAATATATATATATTGATATAGTGAGCGGTGTACTAAATGCTTTTCAAGGTGAGTTGGTAAGGGGCAAAATAGTACTATTACCTTTATAATGTCAGAACAACTCTCCTCACGAATTGGAGGGCCTTAGCTCATTCCTATCCATTTACTTTAGGGTTGCATCAGTAGGGGTTTGTGTTGGACCAAGAGGGGGGTGAATTGGTTGATGAGCGCTGAATATTGCATATTCGAGTCCCTAAATTTATGTATGTTAAGGCCTAAAGTGATACTTTTATCCTTCGTTAGACTGATTTATGTTTAATGTGTGTTTGTAGGTACTTTCCTAGAGAAATGGTTAAAATAGGGACTTTATGATGATATCAAAGCTTACAGAGTCAATGCCGGTCATCTAGAGCAAGCCGTGATCTTAAATGGTGAAGTTTGGAAGAATTCAAGAACCAAAGCTCGAGCCCAAGTCTTGAGACTCGAGCTCTGTAAGAAAAAGAAGAAAAATTAACAAGGCATTGAAGCTCAAGCCTTGTACCTTCAGAGCTCAAGCCCTTATCAAGGGTGTTCGAGCCTTACCTCATGGTGCTCGAGCCTTGACCCTTAAGCTCGAGCACAAGGTGTCGGAATTTGAAGAGTTGATTTAATGGAAGAACCAAGCCCTCAGGGTCTCGTGCCAAACCTCAGGGATCGAGCACCATCATTTAAAGCTCAAGCCTTGAGTACCCAAAGCTCGAGCCTAAAAAGCTTAGATCGAGCAATGTTAAAAGAGATGAATCCCAAAAATATTCTAAGTGTTGAAGGAAAAGACGCTTCGGAAAATAATTGAAGAAATTTGGCTACGTGTCAAATTGAAGATCGAGCACCATTCCTTAAAGCTCGAGCAATAATCTAATGAAGCTCGAGCCTTGTTCCCAAAGCTCGAGCCTGAACCTCAAAGCTTAAGCTCCACTTCCTAAAGCTCGAGCCTTCTATGACAAATCAGATTTAAGTTATGGGATTATTTTCTTTACAAGTTGTATCTCATTCTAGATGGGCCAAAAGACCTAAAAGCCCACCAAACCCTTGTTTTCTTCTACAAAAAAAGGCATAGGCCTTGATAGAATGGGGTTCCAAGTTCCTTTTTCTCGTATAATTCAGATGTGGTGGCGGCTTTTAGGATTTCCATAACCTTAGAAGGCGAAAATCCTGAGAAGAGAAGTGTTGTCCATGACGATGGAGATGACTACAACACAGATAATATTCGGCATCATCATGAGTAGCTAATTCCTATCTTAGGGCACTAATGTAACCCAATCTAGTACTATAGTTTGATTGTTTTAACTGTGGGATATTTTTAATGTATATTATGTTTTTTATTATATGACTATGAGCAATTGAGACAAATCAATTAGATTTAATGTTTTAAATAGTTCTTAAATTGTTCTTACATTGTCTTAGATATAACTGTTCTATTCTCAACCTATTCTTGTTGGACAGTATCTGGCGAAGCCCTGCTAGACATAAGAATAGAGGTCATGTAATGGTATTCCAACGTTTTTTTTATAAAAGAATATTTTCATAGTCCATGCTTAGGAAAGATGAATTGTTTACAAATTAGTTAAAGTAGGCAAAGTAGGTAGGTGGATAGTCCATGCTAACCGCAGATAGGTTATAGTTAACTGAATTTTATAAAACATCTTTCTTTAAAATCTGATTAAAATATAAAATATAATTTGATTAAATCCCAGAGTTGAAACAGTTAACCATAGTATGAAGGTTGAAGTGAAGTCAAAGCCATAAAACCTTTCTCTCTCTGATTACTTTAGTTTAATTTTAGTTTATAATCGTGACAACCAATTGAATAATTCAACCAGTTACCTATAAACCAATAAAGATTAGTTAGAA